TTGGACCACAGCAGGGATTCCGGCAGTTTCGTCAGACATGTCATCATGCTGTGCGAAAGCAGCTGCTCGGTCGGATTGACGTACGCCTGATATGCGTCAACGAGAAGCTCAAGCTGCGAATCACCGATCACTTTGGCGAAGTTGTACGCAGACACCCGAAGATCTTCAGTGAAGTTGTTGCCGAGGAACAACTGTTCAGAGATCGCATCATACTGCGTTTGCCCTGGCTTCGGCACGGCAATCCGGCAACTCTTGAAGTAACTTGCAATCAAGCTCATCTCCGTTTCGGCCAGAGCAAATGCCGCGTCCAAGTTATCTCCTGTCATGAGTGCCTCGATTGCCTCCCGATGCTTCTCATAGGCCTCGTACTTGAGGGTTTGAAACCACATGCCCTCCGAGATGGTCGTCGCCACTTCTTCGTCTTCCATGTTTGGACTCACGGGAAGGCCCGTGTCATAGAAGGTTTTTCCTCCAACTGCGGCGGTATGGAGACCGTGCTACAAATGTGTTTTGCAGAACGCGCCTGGCAATGGCCTGTCTGGCACCGATGCCAAGAGATCCTTCTGCTTCTTCACGTACTCGTTCGTGAAGCGACTGAATTGCATCGGGTCTGCAGCGGGCGGCTGGATGCAGACGCCGTGACGATACCGCCAGACCTGTAGTCCCTCCACGGTAAAGATCCTGCGTATGACGTTGTGGGCGTGTTTGCCCGAAACGCCAGCACCGTGGCGGTTGAAGCTTGCGCAAGACATGCAGTTGAGGGGTATTCGAGTGACACCTAAGCTGAAGTGCCGCAAGACATACGCAGCGCCCTGCAAGGCATGAGTGCTGCTGCCATCCTTGCCACAGCTGCCCGAAGCTTCTGTCATGACCTGCGAAATCGCAGCGGTGTCCTTCACCGACTTGCGATGTGGCAAAGCCAAACGCAAGCCAGTAAATACGTTTGCGATATGGCAACTGGAAGAGTCTCTAACCCTGTGATGTCGCAGCCACAAAAACTGCAGAATCAAGAAGCGCAGAGTCACTCAGACCACAGGAGTTTCGTGGCATGCTTCACAGG